ACGATGTTCTGCACAAACACGGCTTGGATGTGTGCGGGGAGGGCGGTGATCTTGGGGTTCAGGAGGGCATCGATGGTTCCCCGGGCGTCTGGCAGGAAACTGCTGAACTCTCCCGTGATCCAGGCCGCCGCGTAGAGCACCTCGCAGATCCCGTTCTCGTGGGTACTCCCAGAGAAGAGATGAGTGTTCTCAAGGATGGTGGCCTGTAGGTGGATGGGACGTCCCGGGTTACAAATGGTTCAGGCCTGAATTTCAACTGAATCAAATTTTTTCACTTTGCAGAGATGAATGGTGGCTACTTTAGATATTGCTACCTTTGTGGAGTAACTAATGACTACTGAAAAGTTGTCCAAACTTGAAAGCATTATGTGTGTATATACAGTATGTCACCCCTCAAATGAGGACACCTTTCTAGTTTAGGACACACTATTTTCGCCAAGAAGTTTTAGCATGAACTTTAACCTCTGAAATACATAAGGACACCTCAGTAAAATTGGCAATAGATTAAAGAGTACGTACCATTTGTTTCACAGCGAAAGGCCTGACATCGCGAACTCTAATCGTCACATCCAACATTTGTCCAGCTATGAGATGGCCTTGACGAGTCCCCTCAAACCTCGTCATCTCTACCAGCACCGTGATATACCTGTAGTCAGAGATTCAGCGTATGCATCTGAACAAAGGACACTTTTGGGACATTGAGAGTGTCCTATATCCAGAGGTGTCCTTTATTCTGAGGTAGTATATTATAGTATAATACATTAATGGTATTAGTATGGGGCAGAACCAAGTGTCCCTTATAGAGAGGTGTCCCTATGTATTAGTATGGGGCAGAACCAAGTGTCCCTTATAGAGAGGTGTCCCTATGTATTAGTATGGGGCAGAACCAAGTGTCCCTTATAGAGAGGTGTCCCTATGTATTAGTATGGGGCAGAACCAAGTGTCCCTTATAGAGAGGTGTCCCTATGTATTAGTATGGGGCAGAACCAAGTGACCTTTATAGAGAGTTGTCCCTATGTATTAGTATGGGGCAGAACCAAGTGTCCTTATAGAGAAGTGTTCTTTTTTTCGGAGGGTCACTTTTTCGGACATTTCGCTGTACAGTAAATGAAGCTCAAATATTGCAACGGCACACTCGAAAATGCTGTACTGAAATAGGTGTCACACATGCATCTTTTGTGTGGCAAGTCACTTCCTCCTTCCCCTCCTTTAATTGCTTCCTGGTTAAACCCCAAAACTGAACTTGAAACAAGCAGGATTACTAGGGAATCTTGTGTGTAATGCAAGGTTCAATTGTGTAGGTTTGTTGCAAATGCATAATCCCATCCATTGACTGTTCAGAGGGAAGGAGTAAAGGTGCTGACCATTCAAAGTTGGTGACATATTGGTAGTTGTTCTGACTGCACATGTAGACGATCTTGGACAACACCTCATCTCTATAGTCTGTGGAGATTGACAGTAAGGTAGTGAGATAATGGGATTGTGGGGCTTCCAGGGAAAGAGGTGAAGAGAGAGAAATGGAGGAAATTAGGGATGGAAAGAGAGAAAGGATACCAACTGGTGTGTACATACTGTTTGACTCATCACCAATGATGAGTCAAGTATGTAACAGATGGAGGGAGAGAGGAGAGAGGGAGAGAGAGGAGGGGGGGCTATCTCCGACTCATCCCCAATGGGAGAGGGAGAGAGGAGAGGGGGGAGAGGGACTATACTATAACTGGTGCTCTCTGACTGGGAGAGGGAGGGAGGAGAGGGACGAGAGACAAGAGAGGAAACAAAAGAGAGGGAGAGCAGGAGACGAGCTCAGGACGAGACGCCCGCAGAAAGAGGAAGTGTCTCAGAGGGGACCTATGATCTAGCCGAGGCGATGATGAGAGGGTGTAGGAGGAGGTGATGGAGCTCGTGAGCGGCGACAAGACGGGAGGCGCAGGGGGCTAGAGAAGGGAAGAGGAAGGAAGTTGTGGATGAGAAGCGAGCCAGAACGGGAGAGAGGGACGAGACTGCTCAGCAGGAGACGCCAACAAAGAGAGGAGATAAGTGAAAGCAGACGCGAGGAGGAAGCCGAGACATCTTTATGCGCCAAGTCGGGAGGAGAAGAACAGCTAGGTTCACACACGAAAAAGGGCGCGATCGAAGTACTCGACACCACCCAACCCGTACTCAAGCAACGGCGAAGGAAAGCGTGCGGCGAACTCACACCGTGCCGGGGAGCACCTAAACCAATGCCATCCTCTCCAGATCCAGAAGACTACCGATGACAAGGAATTGACCATCTAAAAGTAGCACATCAGCCGCCTCCAGCAAGCGCCCAGGGGAGAAAGCGGGAGACCCGCAAAAACATAATTTAAAAAAAAACGACCGACGTGGATCCCGTAGTCACAAAACTAGGGGGAACCACGACGCGCCAGCCGACAGGTACGAGTTCAATTGGGGAAGGGGAAAGGGAAATGACTGGGTCAGAAGTAAGTATCTCCGACGTGAGAGGAAGCCAACACAAGAAAAATACGCGTAGGTGACTTGGGAAATGGAAACCTCGGAGGAAAAGAGCGCAAAGCTGCTTTGTTAGAAACTCAGGCAAGAGACAATAGAGTGCCAGGGAGGCAACTGAGACAGTACGCTGCAAAACAGCGAAGAAAAGAAATACTGACTGGCAGTCGACGTGGTGGGTAACACCGACGGGCGAGAGTAGAACGATCCTAGAAGAAGGGGGTGAGGACGGGAAGATAAGGTTTGTTGAATGATTATATTTTTTATTTCTCTCTAAATTGAGTCGCCCAAAAAAGTATTGCTCACTAGCTCAGCAACAAAGGGGGGGGGGCGTTGTCTTTGTAGTAATCTATTCCATACAGGTTTTCTTACGGGACAAACTACAAAATCGTGAGCCAGCGGGACGAATGCGCCGCTCTGATCGAGGGGAGAACCCACTTTTGCTTGTGAGTCACTGTAGCAGGGTGGGGGTCGCGGTGACAGGAAAGAGTGGCTAGAGCGGTTAAAGCAAAGGGGGAAGAAGAAGAGGACGGAGAGGGCGAGACAAAGAGGGAGAGGACAGCAGAAAAAAAAAAGGGAAAGGAAAGGAGGAGAGAGATAGAAGAAAAAAAGAAAGAGGAGAGAAAGAAGAAAAGAAAGAGAGGAGCAGAAGAGATGAAACAAAAAAAAGAAATGGAGAGAAAGAGAGAAAAAAATAGAAAACAAAAAAAGGAAAAGGAGAGAAAGAAGAAAAAAGCAAGGGGGAGAGAAAAAGAAAAAAAGAAAGGGGTGGAAAAGGAGGCGCCCACCGACCAATAAAGGATGAGTGAGCCGAGTAGAACCAAAAAAAAGGGAAGGAAGGGGAGGAGATCGGAAGCCACGGGACGTGGTGAGGCGAGTAGGAGTTGAGTACCTCGCTCCAAGAGATACCCGCTTCTCTCCCTATGCCACCAAGCACTCCATTCTCTCCCTCCTCCCCCCTCTTCTCTCTCTCACTGACTTCGTGAGGCCAGACACGCCTGCGCTAGCCACTGCCGAGAATCTGACAAAGACAAGAGCCCCAGATACTTCAGGTTTTGGTCTGCGTCCTCGATATACAGCCTCAGCTTTGACACACACAGCTGTTACACAGAGACGACATAATCATGACATCATCCACTATGACATCATCATGGTGATGTCGTGGGTTACCTGAATGGAGGCAGTGTGGTTAGGCACGCCGGCGATGACGGTAGAGATGCACTCGTAGAGGAGTGACATGGCGGTGGTTGAGTGGATGAGGGAGATGAGAGGCTCCATTAGTTTCTTGCTCAGTCTCGGCTCCAGGGGTGTCAGAGCACCAAACTGGAGGAAGAGAGAAGGTGGAGAGAGAGGGGCTCAAGGTGTCCATCAAGGCCATTATACATGGTGCAACTTTGTGTCACATGTAACAATAGACCATGTGATGTATGTGAGACAAAGTATGTAGCATGCAAGTTCAGGGTATGATGTGTCCATGTAACTGTCCATGCTGTGATGTTGCACACTGTAAGTTGCACTGTCTATCGTATTACCCATACTTGCTTCCAACTTTGGAAAGTTGAATTGTGTATATCTCAGGGTTATTGTTGGGTAGCTGGGGTGGTGGAGTTGGGTAGGGTGGATTGACCGGTTAAAGGCCAGGACTCACCAATTTGATGATCAGAACTGACCCGGTTCACTGCCCAGATGTTAAGCAACAGGACTGACCAGTTAATTTATCAGGACTGACCAGTTAATGTATCACGACTGGCCAGTTTGATGATCAGGATTGACCAGTTTGATGATCAGGACTGACCAGTTATATGATCAGGACTGACCAGTTTGATGATCTTGATGAGCATCCAGTTGTTGGTGGAGGAGGTCATCAGTTTGAAGAAGGTGGGCGCAAGGGAGAGATAGTTCTTGGGGTTCTTGCGAGCCAGTTCACAGATCACACTCACTGCTGCACACTGCACACCTACACAACAACACACACAAGTTCACAGATCACACTCACTGCTGCACACTGCACACCTACACAACAACACACACAAGTTCACAGATCACACACTCACTGCTGCACACTGCACACATACACAACAACACACACAAGTTCACAGATCACACACACTCACTGCTGCACACTGCACACCTACACAACAACACACACAAGTTCACAGATCACACACTCTCACTGCTGCACACTGCACACCTACACAACAACACACACACACACACACGTATCCAAGAGTGGCTATGATGGGAAGAATGTTCCTCAGGATTGTACGTATAGGTAATGTTTTATACACATTCGCTCGTTTTTCTTGGTTTGCGCACGTTTTTCTATCTGCTCCCATGTTTTTCCTGCATTTTCTTAGATTTTTTCTGCGTGCGGATGAACAAAACTTAGTCCTACAATGTTTAACATTATGAAATCGTGCAACTATTTTTCCCAAACTACACACACACTTACAGTGTGACATAAATGCTAGCAACCCCCCCCGTTTATGAATCCTTTTTTGGCAAAAGTTCTCATTTTACGGGATTCTTGAAAGTTTGTGACTAAACCTGCTACACGTGATGACTGCCATATTCCGCCAAAATTGTGTTTCTAGCGGAAATCAATGGCCATCAGTAGAGCAGTATATAGTACTTTTGTAAAACGGTGGCGAGGGTGTATGTAGCCATTGATTTCCGGTAGAAACAAAATTTTGGCGGAATTTGGCAGTCATCACATGTAGCAGGTTTGTCACTAAATTCTTGGCAGAAATTGATTCACAAAACTTCACCCAAATTACCGAAAACCCATCACGGCCCCTATCTCACCCTATCCTACTGTACCGAACAAGTATCCTAAAACTGACCCTACTTCTCTCTTTACCCTAACCAGTATCCTAACCCCTACAATATGAGCCTCAACACCTCTACCCTACTCTACCCTGACCTTACAGTTACCGATAACTACCCTACTATACTCTTCCCCTGTCTGTATTCTACAACTCATCGCTGTACCCTTCCCTGCCTCTCTACCCTACTCTACATATATGCTCTACCCCTACCCTATATACATCTATCCTACTCTACCCACAAAGACGTTCTTGTAGTGTATCCAGCTACTACAGTGACAGACCACTGTCAGACCACAGACCACTATTGTATCCAGCTACTACAGTGACAGACCACTGTCAGACCACAGACCACTATTGTATCCAGCTACTACAGTGACAGACCACTGTCAGGGTCCTCCAGCCGGTCCTTTAGTCTCTGGAATGCTGGTCGCAGAGCATCTGGAAACTGAAAGTAAAAACATTCATTTCGTAACACAGACCAACTACTGTAACCCTCGCTGCGCATGCGTGCCGAGGGTTAATTATCTCTCTCCCTACAGTATGGTGTGGATGAACACAACACAGTTTTGGTAAGCGAATGTATGGGGGGGGGGGAGGCTTATTGTGGCCCAAACCTTCCCAAACTCATGCTAAAGAGCTCTTAATGCCTCGATGGGTCTAAACAACAGGTACTCGCCATGATCCAAACTGAGCTGAAAAACTGAGAGAGGTGAGTTTGGTTGGTTCATTCACAACTACGTGTATACGTAGGCTCGCTTCACTCGCCAAATCAAGGCAGGGGGACATTTGGGGGAAGGGGGGACACCTAACCCCCTTGATAACTCTCCTCTCGCCCCATTAGAGTTGCTTTAATGCATACAAACACAGGGGTTCTGCCCTCCTCTTACTGATTAATGCACTATTTAATGCCCCCTTGGATCAATTTCTAATGAAGGCCTGCAAGGGAGAAGCTGCTTTGCATAAATACATATTCCATCAAAATTGTGCTCCTATACACACAGTAGCACTTCAATATGTAAAGACCGAGACACTATAATACGCATGCGTACTCTATATATAAATAAAATCGCATAAGTAGCATAGAGAGCCCACGTGGGGCCAGTCTAGCACTAATGGCAGCTGTATCGTATCTATTGAATGTGCTGAGACTCGTAAAGAAAGAGAACAAGACCCTAGCTGGTAGAAGCCAGGGGCTACGCAGGTGCTACTGGCGAGTACGGGGGGTTACAAATAGCTGTGTATCACCTTGAGGAAGACTTTGTACATGATAATAATGGCCTTTTTCCTGAGGTAAGGTCTGCTGGAGGCTGTGAGGGTGAGCACGTCGTTTGCGAGGTCGCGGGCAAGATCTGGCGTCATGAAACAACCCAGACCGCTGAGCGCCAGACTGGAGTCGTAGAGATTGGACGAGGAGATGTCCTTCCTGATCATGTTGGTTGTCAGCATGACGACGTCTAGACCTTCGTGGAAGGACTGGGAGGCCGCAAGGTAGCCTGTTCGCTGGGGGGAGGAGGAGGAGGAGGAGGAGGAGGAGGGAGGAGGAGGGGGAGAAGGAAGGGGAGCGAGGGGGGAGGGGAGGGAGGGCTGGAAGTATGGCATTGTGGAATGGGACATATGTATATACCTTGACTGTGAACTTGGTTGAACTCATCACCTCCACAACATTGAAGGCTGCCCACGAGATGTCGTAGCCCAGCATTTGCAACTGGGGGGAGGGAGGGAGGGAGGGAGGGGGGAGGGTAGGGAGGAGAGGGAGGGAGGGAGGATGGAGGGAGGAGGAGGGAGTGAGCGTGGAAGAATAGGCAATTCATGAATATCGGTCAAAAATTAGATGCCGTGGTTGATTTACAGTGCTTCAAGGGGTGATAATATGATTCAATTTCTTACAAATCTGATGATACTTCAATGCATGGATGGTAATAATATGGTGCATAGACCCATCATGTGTACTGCGTAAGTTTCAGAGTTTATAAACATGTTTTTTCATGTGTACATTGCAAGTTTTATGAGAATTTTTACATCGCAAAGTTGCACTGTGTTGTACATACGTTGGCTTTAGGGAAGGAGTGAGATAGAGGGTGGGGGAGGTTTAAGATTGGAGCTAAGCAACACACTACCTCACTACATACATATATATATACACAGCATGCTCCCACAACAGTCAACTGCCATACTCCGGTGCTGTGTGGAGGAGACAAGGTGACGCATTGTGCGGCTACTAGACACTCTGTGTCCCCCCATTGTCTCCTACAACACTCACATGACCAAATATGGAGACTATAGAAATCTACCTGAGACTATAAAAAGGCGGCACTATGGAGCCAGCGATTTTGTCCCTTGTAGAGAGAGCGTCCCTATCTCAACACTTTAAAGTATTAGCATGGGGTTGAAACAAGTGTCCTTTGTAGAGAGGGCGTCCCTATCTCGGAGGTCAAATAACACACTAAAGTATTAGCATGGGGTTGAAACAAGTGTCCTTTGTAGAGAGGTCGTCCCTATCTGAGGGTCCCTTATCAGAGGTTCCACGGCATTCAGTCAGTAAAACAAAGGGAGGTAAAGTACTGAAACATATAATTGCAAGGGGCTCAGCTAGAGCCTTTGAAATAAACAACAGTGGAATCAACTATTTGGCTATTAGCTCATGCAATTGGATACAGGGAGACTTACAAAACACACTCCTCTATAAAACAGCTGATACATAGTTATGGCCACTTGACCTTTCACCTCAATCAGGTGTATATATTCATCCTCTATAAACAACTCACATATATCAGTTTTGCAATGGCGTTGCATTTTAATCCCATGTTCTCCTGTTTCAACTCTTTCTTTATCTCCACCATACATTGCCCTATGAATGCCGCCTGAGACACAGACAAAGAGAAGGAGGATGTATGTAATATGCATATTGTACACCGGCAGACAAACGCTGCAGAGAGCTCGCCTCGTTGCTCTTGTGGGCTCTTATGCCGCGCACGAGGTCGTTCAGCGACTTCTCGAACATTCTGCAGGCCTTTAGATCAGCTCAATCACTGCAGCAACTTCGGAAAGCAAGGTAGACGAGAGGGAAGACCCTAGCTGCACTGGGAAGTCACAAGACTGTCACATGTGCGTGAATTGTGTGGGGGGCGTGGCATGGAATTACTACGCATGCGCAATAATCACACTGCTGTTTAACGTGCTTTGTACGTGTGTGTGCTTCGCTGTTGCTTTTTCGCAGGCCTTTGTTTTTCGCCGTCTCAGTTCGGCCGTTGCGTCATCATGCCCACCACTAAGCACTGGACGACTGAGCCAGACGGGGAGCTGATGGTCAAGGTGGAGAGGCTGCGTCTGCCCAGTTCAGTCTGCCAACCCTCTCTTTCTCTCTCTTACTTTGCAGACCACTCTCTCTGGCCCAGCCTCCGTCCCTCCTTCCACAGTCAACGAGGTTTTCAAGAGGGTCTCCAAGAAATTCGCTTACAAACCTGCTCTCAGGTAAAGATTCATTGGCTGTGTAGTCAGCCTCAGAAAACTAAAACTCATTATCCTGGAAATAATACACTTCTTCCAGTGCCCCATTCCACCACGTTTAGTTCCATGTTGATGTGCATGCATTCAGACTCGAGAGGAGAATAAAGAGGAGAGGAAAACGCTCTGTTTGTGCATGTAGTATTCACTTAAGGAGATACACCCGTGGCCTCCAAAGGGTTAAAAAGCAGAACGTTATGTATAAAGTATTACCTCCTAGTATTATAACCTCTATATAAATTATTATGGACTTATGGAAGCATTTATGTGTCCGTAGCCGGTTAGCTCGAAGGGAGGGCGAAAGTGTATGTATCAATCACCCACCCACCCCACCCTCCTAAATGAACCCCTAATGTCAGACCATGTATTATAACTATTGGACTCTCTTGTTGTAGGGCAGAGAGAGACGGTGAGTGGAAGACGTGGACATTCCAACAGTACTATGCCGATGTCGCGGCTGCGGCAAAGTCTCTGATCCGACTGGGACTGGAGCGGTTCCACGGAGTCTGTATTCTCGGCTTCAACGCCCCCGAGTGGTTCATTGCCTATCTGAGCGGCATTATGGTGAGCATTCGTGGTGTGTACATCTTCCACATAGCGGGAATACTTCAATGCCCCCACCCATGTGGTTCATTGCTTACATAATGTATATACATACCTGTGTGGCACTATGTTATGTATGTTCCAACAGAGTGGGTATACAATGACACATTACTAGGACCAGGCTTTTTAAGGAGGCTGTCCACTCCTTGGAGGTTAAAATGTACTAGGATGATAGGGAAAGTGAGCGTTTGGGACCTCCAAGTGTGTCCTTTACTGAGAAGGTTGCTTCTATGGTGTCCTTCACCCGGGAGTGTCCTCTATCGGAGGTTCTGTGGGAGAAACTCAGTAACACAAAAGTTTCGTTGAGCAGGGCTTCGTTTGGGGGAGTGCCCCCTTAATCAAATCGTGCCCCCTTTTCCAAGAGTTTCAGTGAACCTAGTGCACACGGATATCAGGCTTTACCCCGCTCCGATCGTTTTCATTTTCCTCCTCTTGGACCAATTTCTTAATGAAGGCCTGTTTTGAGATGCAAGTTTACCATTAGGATCTCGCTCCAAATTGCAATTACACACACTGAAAAGTGTCACATGATGTTGATTGTGTGTCATGTGATCTCCTGTATGTACACAGGCTGGAGGTATTGCCTGTGGGATATACACCACCAATAACCCCGGTAAGAAGTCTGCATGTGATTATCACGTGACATTCTACCCCTGTCATGTGACCACTCAGAGGCGTGTCATTTCATTGCCGACAACTGCTCGGCCAACGTTGTGTTCTGTGAAAACAAGCTCCAACTGACAAAGATCCTTCAGGTAGGATGTGTACTTGTTGGGTATCCCTAAGCAACCGACATGTATGAAGCTATGAGCATATACTATCCTGCACAATGTAAGGTGGGTTCATGCATGTCGGTTGCTAGGGATATCCAACAAATATATTGCAGTGCCCAGACAGGACAGCATTCGCCCTGTGCACTGCAACATTATTTACAATGTTTCATTCACTTACAAACGTCTCTCTATTCTCTTTATGTTGTGTGCGTATGCCCCTTTTGTTGTGATAACTCGTAAACATACACACACGTGCTTTGTACCCTCCCTCGGAATGTCTCATATTGAGCCAAATTCCATATTACATGGCATCTCTCTTGTGTTTGAGGGGTACGTGTTGTGCGTATGATATTATGAGCAAGTTGTGTGTGTGTGTGTGTGTGTATGTGTGTATGTGTGGTGTGTTGTAGCAGTGGGTGTGGGTGTTATTGGTGGGCAGTTAGGCTGTAGTCCATCACCCGATTTTATGCCTTTATAGGCATGAACTGTAGTAGCTAATGCCACTGAGACTTATTGTGTATACAGTATGTAAGTCATGCCACCAGAGCATGCAGCTCCACATGCACACGAGAAGCAAATGCACATTGGCATAGATTGTAGCTTGCATTAAGACATTTTGATGTACAGTAATGAATATCTAAGATGTACATACGTAGCTGTTAGAACGTTCAATCTTGTGTGTAGAGGCTCTTTAGCATAACCTTTACTGTCAACATAAGTTGGTTCTAGAACATGAGAGCAAGCGTCACTCCCTACTCCCCTCCTGCTTATTCTCTCTCATCAGAGTAGAAATCACCTTTGTGTAGCAGTTAGTGGTTTACGTCCAGGTCTAAGTATGGAGGTAGAAGAAGCTGTGTGTTCTTCTCTCTCTACAGTCGGTATGCCTCCTATTGCCTCATACTAAAGTTGCCAAAGTCCATACAGTGGAACCTCTGAGACAGAGGCCAACGATTCTGTCCCTTGTAGAGAGGCCGTCCCTATATATCTCGGAGGTCAAATAGTATTAGCATCTGGTTGAAACGAGTGTCCCTTGTAGAGAGGTTGTCCCTATCTCGGAGGGTCACTTATCAGAGGTTCCACTCTACTACATCTCTCCCTCTCTCCCCCACAGGTGCGTGACCGTCTCCCCCATCTGAAGGCCATAGTCCAGTACTCCCCGGAGCCAGTCGACGCTCAGCAGCGAGACGAAGGAGTCATGTCGTGGGCCGAGTTCATGGAGATTGGTCACGACGTGCCTGACTACGAGGTTCAGTGGAGGATAGAGCAGCAGAAGCCCGGCCACTGTGCCTCTCTCATCTATACCTCTGGGACCACCGGACAACCCAAGGCAGAGTTTCTGCTATAGACCAACTTCCCACTGGTCCACACACTTTTTCTCAAGTAGCACGACGTGGTTTTCTGTATAAGTACATGTGACAACAACAAGGCGAGGTAGAGAAAGGCCAAGGCAAAGCAAACAAGTCGAATACACCCAGGACAACTCTTTTTTTTCCCAAAAGCTGCCCTGGGTGGGATTCGAACCCATGACACTCTGCAGTCTAGGTGAGCGCTCTACCAACTGAGCTACCAGGGCAACTCAGCTGGTAGGGGTTCAATCTACAACACAACACAACACAACACAAAGGCAAACCTCAAACCACTGTGCTATGCCACAGTATACTCATGTAGTGGTTAAAGGAATGTAGCAGTACGAAGTTTACATAGAACAAATAATAGGCAATAAATTTCTGCTGTCAGTTATAACAGTTTCTTAATGTAGTTCTTATTATACTGAGCATCGTGTGAATATATAATCTACAAGAATTATTGAAATACAAAGAATGAGGCATTTTTGGCTCTTGAAACTCCAAACCACTTTTCCGTGTGTATGAGCGTTAATGTACAATTAACATTACTTACGAAGATTAAACCTATTTTTTTCAGGGAGTGATGATTAGTCATGACAACGTAACGTGGACGGCCTCGGTCTGCGGCCGGCTCTACCAGCTCTCTGAGGTTTGTTGAGCCTCCTGGCCACGTGACTGTCACATGACTTAACTCTCCTGCAGGAGGATCACATGATCAGCTACCTACCTCTCAGCCACATTGCTGCACAGATGATGGTACGAAATTTTGAAGTCGGCATCTTGTTAGTGTTCTATTTAAGTGTAATAATTGTCTGCAGGACATCAATGCCCCACTGCACTGTGGGCTGACCATTCATTTTGCCAGACCAGATGCCCTCAAAGGGACACTGCTGGAGACACTGAAGGTTAGTTAGCCCCATGTTATGGCTACCTTGCCTGCGCGCATGCGCAGCGAGGGTTGTTGCAGTCGGTCTGTCTGTGTGTGTGTGTGTGTGTCCATCTGTCCTCCGTTTTCCTCAGTAACCGTAATCTTCTGGAGACACTGAAAGTTAGTTAGCCCTATGTTATGACTACCTCGACACGGTACTCTATGTATAGGTAAACGCTAAAGTTTGCCCCTGATTGTAGACATTAATCCAAGGGGGAAAGTAAAGCATTCATGGATAGCAGATATACCATACATTACATGAAAACTGAACACCTATATACATAGAAAGAAAGAAAGACAGAAAGAGGACTTCAAAGGGCTACAATTAACATACATATATCCATAAGGGCTTACTTGGGACTAGCAAAACATGTAGTTCAGGAGAGTTTACTCCCTCTAAAGTTTGTTTTGTATGCGATATGTATTGAGGTGGTGTGTGTGTGCGTGCGTGTGTGTGCGGGCGTGTGTGCGTGTGTGTGTGTGCATGCGTGTGTGTGTGTGTGCAGGCGTGTGTGCGTGTGTGTGTGTATGTGATCCTCCACAGTCCTCTCACATATGATATGGTGCTCACTGTACCTTAGAGACTTACTTTGACCAAGTATGATGCACCATTTTCCGAATTTTGTGACGTCGGTGTAGTTCGCATTGTAACATGCACATGACCGTCACATGATGATCACATGACCTCTCTGTCCCACCACCAGGCAGTCCGACCCACAGTGCTGGTGGGGGTTCCCCGCGTGTGGGAAAAGTTCAAAGAGAAGGTCGAGGTCCAGCTGTCGCAGGTGACGGGACTCAAGGAGGTCATCATGAGTAAGGCGAGGAGTGTCGGCCGTCAGACCAGCATCAACAAACAGAGTGGGAGACCCGCTGCCTGGGGTTACTGGCTAGCCAACACGTCAGTAACTGTATTATTGGCACATTGTTTTTTCCCCAAACTATTCTTCGACAAAACGTCACGGACTAATCAATAATGTGTGCTGTAAAGTGCAAATTTATTGAGCATCTGTTCCCTGCTGAGATTTATGATCCCTGCTAAAATAACGACAAGAATGCACAACTGGGTGTAATAGCAATCAAACTCAGGCATTTTTGTGGGGACCTACTGCCACATTATTGATACTTTTTGTTAAAATTTCCATCAGATTTGTGTTCAAGAACCTGAGGGAGAAGATGGGACTGGAGAGATGCCGTGTCTGTGTGAGTGTAGCTCCGTTCAAAGAAATGTGTCAGTATACAAGGGCTAAATTTAGAAAATGATACAAAAAACGGAAACCAGTTGCATTCTGTCACTGGGCCCTGTTAGCCCCTACATATGTACTGTCATGTTTCCAAATGTCAGGGTAACAGCACTGGGGTGTGTGTTGGTGCGTGTGCATATGGTTTATGAATGGGGTTTCCTGTTCCAAGAAGAGGTTTTTACATAACTAATCTGCCACTATATACATGTGGGGGCAGGGGGCATGGGAAAAGGGACCTATGTATATGGCTGGAATGTGAAAATTAAGGTTTTTGAGGGTGAAAAAACACAAAAACTTAATTTTCACATTCCAGCCATATACATAGGTCCCTTTTCAGTCAGTTCTTCATGTAAGACTAAGTTTTGACTCACGAAATCTGTGGTCAGCATTTTCATTGTTAGCTCGTAACTCATGTTCATATCCTGTTTTTCTTATATCATTGGGTAACCAACAACAAATTTCGTGACTCAAAACTTAGTCTTATATGAAGTAATCATGCCCTTTTCCCATGCCCCCTCACATAATTTTTTTATTATTCTGTGTATTTCATTATGATAATTGTGTGCTTTTCGTCATTTTAGGGATCTGCAGCAGCTCCCATCTCGCGATCTGTTCTGGAGTTTTTCCTCGATTTCGACATCCCCATCTACGAACTGTACGGGATGTCCGAGTCGTCCGGTCCCCAGACCCTCTCTCTGATTGGTCAGTTTGGTCATGTGACCACCTGCCGAGATCATGTGACTTCTCTCCTGTTCGTATAGGCCATCACAAGACGGGGTCCACTGGGAAGGTGATGGCAGGAGCTGAGCTGAAGATCGACAACCCAGGTACGTATACAAGCAATACATGGTAAGAGAACATCATTTTCCACACTTGTATTTGGAATCACGTAGACATTACGGTATGTGCAGTGGCAGCAGTACACCTATCATATGAAATATGTAGAAACTGCATTGATACAACTGGGTAGGCTCGCTTAAGCTCATCAATTGTGCACATGTATGTATGTAGAAACCTAGAACCTCACCATGTATCCAGACTTCGAAGCTACATGGGCACTTAGTTTGACTGGGCAGCTCTTGCCAGCAAACCTGTGTATTGCATGATGTGCATGAGTGAGTTTGAAAGCGATATATACAGAGAGTAGTGTCTGGTTGTAGCTTCTTTTGTGGACTGGTTGTGGTGGCAGTGTGTAATTCACAGACTACAGTTGAATTGTCAGTCAAGTATAGCAAGCAGGCGGCATGCAGATATCGTCTGTGTCGTAGTTAGTTTGGACTCAATGACTGAATATAGTGCTTGTACAATTTTGTAGCAAAGTGTTTCGGTTCCTTTGATCTTGGTTTGGTACAAATCTGATGCATAGTTTTGTGTGACATTCGAAAACCTTTTCAATGTACGTATGGCAAAGCGCATTCTCGACTTGAACATACTAGAGTGAAGTCAGGAGAACTATAAAGACTGGTTGTATGTATGTATGTGTATCAACAGGTCCCAATGGAGATGGAGAGGTGCTGTTCCGTGGCAGACATGTCTTCATGGGCTACCTCAAGGAGGAGAGGAAGACGCAAGAGGCCATTGACGAGGACGGCTGGCTCCACTCTGGGGACATTGGTCGTATTGACCCTGAAGGTACAGAATACGTATAAGTTAGATGCCGAGTCCAGGAAACTACGCGCATTAGAGAGCCGCGGGGGCCCCGGACTGTCGGCGTTCGAGCGCAGCGAGGATGCTACTAAGGGCCCCCAAGGCGCTCTAATGCGCGTAGTTTCCATGGACGAGGCGTCTAACTTGTTTAGAGCTATGGCAACGCGTGCGCGCAATTCAAATTCGGTGCATGTGAAACCGCGAACGAACGCTGCTTTCTCGCTGGGAAGTCGAGCGAGAGGCCCAGGGAGGACGTCGACAACGGGCTCGACTCTACGTACTTTCGCAGACGCCGTTGGGGGACTCCGCCCAACGTAAGTGAGCCATTGCGCATGCGCCAAATTTAGAGTCCGGAGAAAGTTTATTTAGAGTCCGGAAAATTTGTTCTACTCGAATTAGAGTCCGCGCATGGACCAATCAGATTGCGCGATTTAAATTACCCAGCTCTAAATAGGACTATAAAGACCAACATACAGAATACAGACTATGAACACCAACATATACGGACCAAACTTTGACCAACAAAAGTCTCACGCAACTTCTATTATCGGTGTGATGAGTTCATGCAACACTTCCACCCCAACCTATTGCCTTTACATCGGGGTCTGGCAATAGTGACAACACTGTATACTAAACTGGTATAATAGTAATCTTTGAATTTTGTCAGTCTGAGTGTTGTCTATTGCACGTACAACTTGTAACTTCTTGCATAGGCGATCATTCCCATTTTCTTTAAGTTACGTGAGACTTTTCAAAGCCGCCCTGTTGGCCTTAGTCTCATACTGTAGTGATGTTTATGAACTGTAATATATATGCATCGGAATTATAAAAGTTTATGCTCCATTTGTTACACATATTCGTACTTGTCTTTTCTTCCATCACCCTTCATTTCTCTCTTCTCCCCTGCCTCCAGGCTATCTGTACATCACAGGTCGTATCAAGGAGATCCTGATCACCAGAGGAGGAGAAAACATTGCCCCTGTCCCCATCGAGGAGCAGGTGCTCGACGCCTGCAAACTCCTCAGCTACTGCATCGTCATCGGCGACAGCCAGCGCTACATCACCGCTCTGGTGTCCCTCAGATGTGATGTGAGGAGAACTTTACCTAGCTTCTCTCTCCGTCCTTCCCCCCTCTCTCTTCCCTCTCACCTCTCTTCTCCCTCTCCAACCCCGTTTCTTGTCTCCCTTTGTCAATCATTGCTATCACTTCTTCCCTCTCTCTCCCCCTCTCTTCTGAATCGTGGTCAACACTCTCGAAAACGTGGATGCACGTTATGAGCTAAACTTGGTTCTGAAATTAGATCGATTAGCATCATCCTCATATTTATTTCACCTCGTCCCCGTCTCTCTCTCTCCATACCAGCTGTCCCCAGAGGCCGAGCCACTGGATCAACTGGATGCCTTGGCCCTCTCTGTCCTCCAAGAAATCGGCTCTACGGCTACAACTGGTATTCACTCACATACAGTAGAGATATGTAGTTCTAGGGACATGAGTATCCTGTTTACAATAATCTGTATAATATAGCATTTCACCTACAATTGACAGTGTGTCTTGTCCCCCATCAACAGTGAAGGAGGCAAGAGAGGACCAGAAGGTGATCCAGTACATTGACAGCTGCATCAAGAAGGCCAACGAGGCCAGTGTATCCAAGGCTGCCAAGATACAGGTACATATATGACCGTCACTCAACAGCTAATGTTGTTCCACTTGCCACAAGCCAATGGGGAAGTTGCACAAGCTTTCAAGCTTTCAAGATGCTGCTACAGTTGAACCTCCGAACAAGGGACACCGTGGGGCCAACGATTTTGTCCCTTGTGGAGAGGTCATCCTTATCTCTTCGGAGTCAAATAGTACACTAAAGCTTAACGTTTCAAGCATGGGTTTGAATTTGAAACAAGTGTCGTTGTAGCGAGTCGTCGTCCTATCGGAGGTTCCATGTTTGCTGCTTACAGTGGAACTCCGATAAGTGCCTCCAGCATAGGGACAGCCAAGTGTGACTTTATCTAGTGACGCGACTTCGCATGTTTTCACTACATCTTGTAGTATATTGCAACGCGCTTTTATTACGTATTAGACCCGACACGGTGCCATTCCTTGTGCAACCCGCTAACACGTAAAAAAAGTGTGCATCGCTAAAAAATCAGTAGGGATCTCGCCCATTGTTATTCTACTCGTGTACGAAGGCAGTGTCTTCGCTGCCACTTCAGAACCACCACAACCCAAGGCCTCAGCTTCACGTGCTAGACGTCACAGACTACTCGCTGTCCAACTATAGATACCTGTGTGTTGACTATGCCTTCTGCTCTCGTCCTGTTTTCCCTATTGTGCGACACGAGGCTTTGCATTGGTTCTACAGTTGAACCTCCGAACAAGGGACGCCATGGGGCCAACGATTTTGTCCCTTGTGGAGAGGTCGTCCTTATCTCGGAGGTCAAATAAAGTATTATATAAGCATGGGGTTGAAACAAGTCTCCTTTGTAGAGAGGGCGTCCCTATCTCGGAGGGTCCCTTATCAGAGGTTCCACTGTACTTCCCTTTCCACATGACTGACTAATTCCGTGGATGATAATTATTACTAAATTTTACCTGTGAATTTGTGTTGTGTGTGTGTGTGTACAGAAGTTCCGAGTGATTCCAGTGGACCTGAGTATTGGAGGAGCGGAGCTGACTCCAACCATGAAACTGAAACGTAAAGTCATCCAGGAGAAGTACTCTGACCTCACTGCCGAGATGTACGGAGAAGGATAAACAGACAATATGGAACAAACTTATGTCTATAGAGAGATTATGTGTTGTAACCCTATTTTTGTGTGAACTTCATATTCTTGTCAATTATTATGATAGATGAATGTGGAGCAGGCATTATAGTATATAGCCTCAAAACTCTGCCTTTATTATTAGTGGTCCTTAGTTCTGAGCTGGTTTGCAGGTGAGGGGGTAGCAGTTTCAAAAAAAGGCAGTGTGAGGCAGAAGCAGCCATGCAATTCGAGGAACGTCCACGTTAGTGACGTCATCTCAAAGGAAACGAGATTCATGACAGGTATACCACAACTACTCGTGTCCCTAGATGGCATAAAAGTAGTGTCGAACGCGCACTTTTTTGTCTGTCTGTCTGTTACCGCCCACTTCCCGAGAAGTGGATAGTAGTAACGATTTTTTGGAGGGCGTAACTCGATGCGCCCGGTTCAAAATCAAAGTCAAAAACGGGTGTGAGGTGGTTGGGTTGCCAGGGCGAGGCTGATAGCCGCACTAAGCTTAGCCAGTAGCGGCAGTGTAATTGCGACGCGAGCGCCCGGACCCGTGATTCGTATCTATCCCCTTCTCCATGTCCATCTCCACCAAGAAAGTAGATAAAGGCGCTACAGCTGTTCGAGATCCTAGAGCGTGAATGCCGCCAGATCTGACAACCACGGACAGCAGTAGCTTCTCTTAGCCATGGCATCCCCTCGTCCCTCTTCTCCTGACTTTCACAAGACAAAATGTGGGTCATTTTTGGTGTCTGTTTAGCTGTGAGATTGAATGTCACCAACACAATCATGAATGCTGAAACTAGGCCACGAAAATGTTTTCACCCACTGGATAGTTATGAAAGGCTGTAGGATATGTAGTTTGTTTGTTGACATGCAGTTGGCAAGGGTTTTAATGCCCAGAGACCTCACCCACTCATCACGTAGAAAAAGAAAAAGAAAAACCGAAACTGGTAATTTCTTGGTCCTATATAGATCACAGAACGGCCTGTGGAGTTTTGGTAGGCGGAGCCTTATATGCATCACATAATTAGAAGAGTGGTTGGTTTAGTATTTATAGACGTCTTACGACCAGGTTTGCTGTCAAAAGTCTGTATCCAGATGTTCCTTTCCCTGGTGGGGGACAGATCTGGATGTACACCGGACTAGGCTTATTTATTGATAGGGTGGTAGTATAGGTTACTGTGGAGAGTATCGTAATAATGAAAATGGGGAGAGAGTTGGTGTCCTTGTCTGTTGTGTTTAGATATGAGGTTCAACAGACACAATGTCCAGATTGATTTTTTGCTAGATCTGGAACATTCAACGGATACTGAGAGACTGGAGAGTCCTTTGGTGTCCCTATGAGGATTGATGGAGGGAGCACTCATATGAGTCAGTTCCCAGAGATAAGGAGACAAGTGAAGGCCTATGTCATCGACTGCATGGACCCTAACGACCCACTGCCTCCTGGAGAGCAGTTATTGTCTCTCACTGGATGGAGTGAGAGCAGAGGCTGCAGAGAAGATACGACATCTGGCGGATGCCCATCACAGGTGTTCTGTGGGGTAGAGACTCAGTATGTATGTTGACTGTTATTAACCCTCGCGCGCGCAGTTTTTAGGCGCAGGAGGTTTACAGACGCTCTTAGTTTATGATGTCTGTCTGTCTGTCTGTCGGTCTGTCTGCTGATAAGCCTAGTCTGGCACTGCTGGCGACGAGGTGGCAATGATTTCGCCGATATCAGGCATCTTCAGTGATCCGAGGGTTTCTTTTTATGATATTAAAAGAGACGATTTTTCCTCTTAGAACAGTTGCATTGAGAGATATTTATGCTTTTTAGTCAGCATAGCGTGTATCGCTGGAATGCACAAACTACTTGATTTTATTTATGGGTGGATTTTAGTAAGCCAGTCTGAGCGTTATCCAAATGATAGTCACATCATGAAGCCGTTAGGGGGATATGGGGCTGATACGTTACCAGGCGTAGGATAAAGAGCATTATGTTGAAAAGTGATGCTGGGTCTCTAGATTAATGTTTAAGTTCAGGTCAGGCACGCATGGGCTATAGAGGAACTGGGTAGGCAGGCATAGAGGGATTGTGATATTTTAGGAGTGCCTGTTGTAGTGATGATATATTGTGTGAAGTGGAGTCATGTGTTGGATGGTAGTGTCCAGCATATAGAGTCATAGGAGAAATTTCTAGCTGCCCTGCAGGGAAGTTTCTTGGGATGATGGGTTTGAGCATTTCCAGTTCGCGTGATAGTTTCAGGAGCATCCGTTTATATTGGGTAGAGTGAGCTGTGGGAGGATACATTTGGTTTATTTGGTGGGTTCTTGCGTGCCTTGTTAAAGGTTTATCTTTTATTTGGATGTTATGGGAGCTAGGAAGGTTAGGTTATATCGCGATATAAATCCCCGCGTCTCAACAGACCCAGTATCAGATTGCGTACTGGGAGCTGCAGGGTGTCGCTGTGGAAGGGGTGAGTCTTGAGGGTGTCTGGAGGTGAGACAGACACCGCATGTTCATATGGTGTATGTTCGTTTGTAACGGTTCCGCCCATTGCTCTGGGTGCGTGGTCTATGGCCCTAGTGCTATGGCAGCCACCTGAGTATTATTAACCCTCGGCGCGCATGCGCAGCGAGGGTTACTGCAGTCACTCATGCTGTTAGCCATCATTGCCAGCAACTGTTTCTTGTGGCCCAACACCATCAATTTTTTGCACATAATATGTAATGTATAATACCAACCGTGCTGCATGGCTCTGCTCCAAGGGTTTACACTTTAGATCCATTGATTAGTGCATGAAAACTGAACAGGTCACGCTATATACATAAAAGAAAGAAGAAAGAAAAAGAGAAAGAAAACAGGACTTCAAAAGGGCTACAATTAACATACATAATCATAAGAAAATGGTATGTCAAGAATGCTTTGAAAATGAATAGCTAATGAGGTTCATTTTAGGCTAAGACACCTACACGCAAGGGTCTTAGCGATAAGATACCTGCGGTTACGTGGCTTAGTTCTAACTAACCCTCCCGTTTACAGTACGCGCAGACCAGGGCGTCCAGAAGCGACGATCACGAGCTGAGACTGCTCAGACATCGCCCTGACTCAACAGTCCGATGCTGCTAATAACAGTGATCTCAGTCATCGTCGATGAAGCTTCGACACGCCCAGTGCCCAATGTGGAATCGGGAGGACCTCTCCCCTGCGGCCCGGACTAAAGTCGAAAATTTTGAAGGCACCGCGTAATATCAGTATAATACTTACCAGCATCGATGCAATCGTGGATTGCGCCCGGTACCGGCTTGGGAGAACTCTCCTCCCCGGTGCTTTCTTCAAAGAGCTGCTACCAACCAAGGTTCAAGGCTAAGCTAACCGTACGGCTATCCATTTCTAACAAGTAGACGGCAGATTCGAGTGTCTTCGTGGTTCTAAAGCCCGCGTGGGAGGTTCGAATGGCGCAATAGTAACCGAGGCGGAGGGCTTACTTGGGACTAGCAAAACACGCGAGCTGATGCACGAAGGTGGTGAAATGACAACAACCAGACTGGTACAGCTGTATATAAGTTATCAAATGGTATCAAAAATAATCTGCGATATATAAAATAAACCATATAAGAGGTATTAAAGGTTACAAAAATAATCCATACGAACACAGCAGCACAAAAATAACATTATATGAGGTAAAACAAAACAAAAGTGTAGGGCAGTACCATTAGAGAGGTCAGCTAGCAAGACCTATAGGCATAGATGGGTGCCCCGGCCTTGAGAACCAGGGATGGTGGGTTATGATTATGTATGGGGCGTAGATGCTGATGTATGCCATGTCCTACTCTCTGTGCAGACCCCACACTCACTATCGACAACCTGCGTCACGTCACCCCCTCAGTCAAGGACTGGTTTGGATCTCTGACCAATCTGGGGGACTACAACTACGGTCTCGGTGTTCCTTATAAAGTGATGGATGAGATCGTTAACAATCCTGCCCTGACAGACAAGGACAAGAAAACTAAAATCCTACTCTACTTTCTGCACAATGTCCCGATGGCCTCCTGGGAGAAAGTTGCAGGAGTCCTGTACTACAGGAAGGAGGAGAGGGCATTACAAGCAGTGAAGAAGTTCTTGACTGTCTCGTCAGGTCAGTCTGCAATATTTATTGTATTCTTCTATCTGTCCCACCATCACGCATTGGGCGCATTGCTGAAGTTCCACGCATTTTGTACGTCGATACTAATAACACACTGCACTTCTATGATCTCTTTTACTCAACCTGAGCAGGCATGCAGCTTAGCGTTTGGGAGTAGCAGCATACGAGTGCAGTGGAGTCATGCCTTCTTGCACATGCCTTGTGCGAGCACCGCACGTACGCAAGTTAGCGTCTACAAGTAATTGTACAAGTCCACTTTTTCCAGGCAAAAAAAACCATTTCCATGCATTTTTAGCAAAACTATTGCATTTGGTTACACCTCATTTTCTCCTAAGGCTTTTTCAAATGAGAGTCAAACTGTATAGGCTGCTTTCACTACCAAAGCATGCCTTTCAGCACAAAGAGCACAGACAGCTGTGTCACCACATAAAAATTACCAACACATGCAAGAGCTTGTACGTATATATGTACATGTTAACCTGCTAACCATTTTAATAAGTGAGCACAAACACATCTCTGCTGCTGCACGCTGGGAGCAGTTGCAGTATCCCTCTGGTAGTTAGACCTCTTGTTTTTCCTGTTGTGTTTCCAGAGCCAACTCTCACTCCAGAGAACCTCTCCGCAATTCTAGACACCATGAATTATGCTCGGTGGATGCAGTTGGGTGCATATCTGAACGTCACAACATTATCAGTCTGAGAGAGGGAAAGGATTAGGGAACTTATTGTTTTCTTTTTTGTACCAGTAACAGAGAGTGCACAACAAGCCCTCATTATTTCTCTATTTCCTTCATCTCTTCCCCATCCAGCACATACTGGACTTCTGGTGTGGCATGGCTCTCTACATGACTGAGCAGCACAAGGGTGACGGCAGTTGTCTCAGAGCATTGGAACTTCTGCAGAACCTCTTCCCAACTGGTAGGGTCTACTGCAACATGATGTGATGTTCTAGCCAGTTTATAAGCAGCACGCAATAAGGCTTACATACGCATATAAACTCTTATATAGATGACAGCGACTGTAATGAACACATGTGCACACACTGTATATATATACTGGCAATGACGTCATGACTACACATGAGAGCATACACGTAATCGTATAAATACACTACTGTGTAACTTGTGGTTATGATAATGTTTCCTTGACTTGCATTCCTCATCTTTCCATGCAGGAAGATTCCGCTCCAAACAGATCTATGAGCAGGAGATGAAACGAGGCCACATTGAGCTGGACCTGGACAAAATGCTGCTGTTTGGCACGGCTGGCAGTGGCAAGACGTGCTCCCTTGCTGCACTGCTCGGAGTGGACCCTCCCACCATCCGACGCAGCACTCCACTCATGAAAAGACCAATCGAGGTCGTGTTCGTGGACGTCGACGGCAAAAAACAGTGGAAGATTCGAACATTAGACGAACTGGAAGACTTGGTTGCAAAAATCATGCGGTCACGAATGCCTCAGCAACCAGCAGTAGCACAGAGCAGTGGTGGCCCAGCCTCCTCCGACCAACAGTCTCCCCACACGGCAGCCAGCCAGTCAGCTCAGCCAACTCCAGAGAAGACGAGTAGCTCCACGTCTGAAGCAGCCGGGAAGAGCACAGCATCCTCGGAGGAGAATCCAAGCGCCAGAGAGCGGCAGGAGGCAGAAAGGAAGTTGAATTCCCTGCTGCAGTCAAGTGCGGTGGACGAGGGGTTTGTACATCTCATCAACAGTGCTCCTCCCTCCCTGCTGCCCATCATGCGACTGAAGCAGATGCTCGTGCTGGACTCTGGCGGCCAGCCCGAGCTTCTGGAGATGATGCCCGTCTTCCTGAGGGGTGCATCCAAATTTGTCTACGTCTTGAGGCTCCACGAGTCTCTAGACAAGCGAGCGATGATCCGTTACTCAAAGACGGCAACCTAGTGTGGAGTACCAGCCTACCTGACAACGAAGGGACCTGAGACTGTGCGTGCGGACATGAGTGCCTGAAACAACAAGAACCCCCAACATCCCTCCCGCCCAATGATGTGTCTGGCCACCCACCGAGACATGGTGGCAGACGAGCAGCTGCCGGAGTGCTGGACACTTGCACAGAGGCTGAGAGAGATCCTCTTGCCTCAGTTCAGGGAGCAGCTCATCTACTGCGATACAAACAGGGACGACTTCATCTACATAATGCAGCAAGCCAGGAAAGGAAGACAGGGAGTGTGCGGAGAGCATTCGGGAGTGTCTTAGTGAGTGGGGGAGGGGGGGAAGGGAGGTGAAAGAGTGCCGTTGCGAGATGGTACGCTCTGTACCAGAAGACTGCTGGACGGGTGCAAATGAACTGGGGAAGAAGGTGCTGCTCGAGATACGTGCAGAAGGTGGCAGCAGTCGATGGAGATCGATGACGAGTCGTGTGGGGAAGCACTGAACTTCTTTTGACGGTCTGAACATGCTGTTTACTTCCCCGACATCCTGCCCAGATGGTGTTCATGGAGCCACATAGATGTTGCTGATAAGGTCTCGGAGCTGGTGGAGGAGACCTACACATGAGGCAGGGAAAGAAGGCCAAGCCGTGCGGGGGAGAGGCTGAGGTTCGTGACCACGGCGAAGCAGAGTGACGGAGAAGTTCTGGGCGAGTCGAGAGCCACTACGAGCCACCATCTTCACACCAAAGAGCTGGTGACCCTGCTAAAGGGGTTGCTGGTGTTTGCGGAGATGTCGGAGACGTGTACTTCATGCCGTGTCTGCGCAAGTGGTGGCGTGGGAGGTGGTGGGAGGAACACCGAGTGAGTGGCGGAAAGCCCTGGCTCTTCACTTTCCCGACAGCGGTCCTTATGGGAACATTTTTTCCACTGTGTAGCGTACCTCCTGTCCCCCGGGAAAACAGTCACCCCTGCCCCTGGAGAGTGGTTCAGAACGAGGCAGGAGCTCCAGAATGCCTCCATCGCAACGTCATCGAGTTCACCGTTTCAGACTATGCGGGCAGCGTTTCACTCATCGATCACTTCACCCACTTCGAACTTCATGTGCGAACTCACCCAACCGAAGCGTCCGAGCTGTGGAAACTGGTGCACGATGCAGTGTTTGCAGGTCTCAAGAAAGCCGAGAAGACCATCGGCTACACAGACAACACTCCGGTCCCAGCCATCGTATGCCCGCCCACCCCACCCAGCTAAACCCCATCCAGCAACGTGAAGAAAAGAGTTTGGAAATGCTCAAAAGACTCTCGAAAGTTTGGGGACTTTGCTGAAGACTCCATTCCATGGATGACCATCTGCAGGACTCAAAGTTAGTTCTCTTTGTTAGCCCAGTGTTGAATATTCACTGCACTCCTCCCCACAGCTCCTGTACCCTCTCCCTCCTCTTCATCTTCTGCAGCTTCCCCAACCTCCCAGCCTCCCCTCTCCATCTCCACTCCTCCTTCCTCCTCTACCAATACCACCACTACTACTGGTGAGTTCTTCTGACACTCCAGATATACACACTAACAGAGTTTTCCTTCTTTATCCACAGCTGTCGAGTCACCCACTGTCTCATCTATAATCCTCTCCCTGTGTGTCTCCTGCCCCACTACCAACACTCCTAGTGAGTCCTCTACTTCATGGCTTCTCTGTACTCTTACCCCTTCATTACTGCAATAATTTGAAAAAGTCTCTCTCGTTTTGTCTTCAGTTCCCTCCTCCCAGTCTGGCAGTAGTAGAGGACCAGAGAGGTTCCAGAGACAGGCCATATCAAACCGCACTCTTCGGGGGTGTGAACAACACTATAGAAATTTCAGTGTGTGATTAGTAGCGTATCCGCCCTGGTAAGAAAGAGAGCGAAGGAGGACTCGGGACGGAGATTTCGAAACACTTCTAACCTCCTCTTTCCTTCACCGCCCCACCTCCTTCTCCGACGCTATCTAGTATTTGATGCATATACGGGCCACCGCTACAGTAGTCCAGAGGACTATATACCTATGCACGAGATGTTGATGGTCGTTTGCAATCTCGAGTTGGAGATCAATTTTCGAGATCTGGACCAAGAAAGGAAGAAAATGTGCCAATACCAGGACCCGTTTCCAAGCTGATTGAGGGGCGGTGGGTCTGGCACAAGACTATAATAGTGTGACTCTACTCTACTGGGATTGTATGTATGATGACTTGTTTTGATGTGAGAAGTGGTAGTTTGGCGCCGTGGCTGCCAGGTGGAACACGTGGCCTGGCCATCCAGATGGACCTGGAAACCATGGATGTGATTGAGGAGAGTAAGACGGATGAGAGTCCTCGACTGTCTAACAAAGGCCTGGCTCTATGGATTGAAGAGGCAACTACAACACTGGAGATTTGGCGGAGGGAGAATGTGGGGGTGATATGGCTTGCAGCGGTTTTGCGAATCCAATGCGAGGGGCAGACCTGCAATTGCCCAGGGGATTACCAAAAGACACGAGAGGTAAAAAATTACTATGTGGGCACACCCTTTACCATGCACATTCTCATAATTAGATCTTCTGGCAAGGCTTTCACGGAATTAACTAAGGCACGTGAGGTTTCACTCCCCACCTCCCCACATCCCCCCCCCAATTTCCTTTTGCAATGAGATATGCACCCCTCAGGAATATTGATTTCACTCCTCCCTGTTGAATAGTGAAAGCAAGCCTATGTATGTAATGCTGTGAATCAGCTGCTTGTGACGTTACTTGAATCCGACAGAAGAAAGAAAAGAAATGTTCAATTAATTGGAGTGCCTGCAAAGAAAGTCTTGGGGAAGAAGGGCCATATTGGAGGGGTCCTAATTTCAGAGTTGTCTTAGCTGAGATAGGTTCTACTTTAGTATTTGTCTTGTGGGTGATGTAAAGGGACACACCAGTGGGGCATTTTTCTGGTGACAGTAGTCTC